TGGCTGACTTCAGGATTTTTATTAAAGATTCGACCTATATCATTTGGAATTGTTTTCTTAGGCATTAATTGATTAATTTGAGTTGAATTTGACTAGTTTTGAGTCGTTTAGAGGTTAATACGCGCAGAGTAAAATTTCTAGAGTATTGTTTGGCTTGCTCGGTATTGGATTCAGTTCGATCGAGTTAAGTAATATTTCTAAACTTGGTGCTGAGGGTATGAACCCTTGAATATACATGTTATGTATTTGATGTTGAGGTGACGCACTTGCTAGGTGACGGGCGTGCACCATAGTAATTGTGACTTAATCGATTATGTGGAGCTGTGTAGTTAAATAATTTTGTCATTATCCATGTATTTTCATGTGTTAAAGAAGCTGAGTTGTGACTCATGTTAGTAATCATGTTTAGGCTATATGCTTATCCTGTTTGGACTCACTGAGGTCATTTTCGCCGTTGAGTTATTTGGATAAATTGTAATTACATGCTCATTTATTGCATATCATATCTCAGTCTCTGATATAATTTGTCTCACAGCATATTATCATTGTTTGGGCCAATTGGCATAAGATTTGTGAGGCCGAGAGACTGGAGAGATTGATGACTGAGTAAGGCCGAGGGCCTGATTGTGAGGATGTTTATGGGATCGGACTGCACGTTGCAGCATACTTTGTTGATTCATGCCACGATTGGCTTATATTTGCGCTTGGGTAGGATCCACCCCTCCGGAGTCTGACTTACGAGTAGTGAGCATTTGTACCTACTGAGTGCGAGTGCTGAGAGCGAGTGCCGAGTGATTGGGAGGATTGAGTAACTGTGAGGACTGAGCGACTGTGAGGACTGAGTGACCGTGAGGATTGAGTGACTATAAGGACTGAGTGACTTTGAGGTCTGAGTGACTATGAGGACTGAGCGACTGGGAGGACTGAGCTAATTGATACTCTGAGAGTATACATACGGTTATATCACTGTGTTGCATTGCATTTGACATGCACACTTGACATACATGCATAAAGATGCATTTTTCGACTGTATTGCGTCATTCATGGCTTCACATACACATTGACATGTAGGCATAGAGATGTACGTTCCTCATGACATCTCATAATGAAATATTTACTTGTTGACAGTTTTGGAAAAATCACATATTTTCAAATTTACCCATATTTTGGTGATTTCGGTAAAAGATTTAGATTTTACGGTTATACTTGTAAAGGATGCCTATTTTTCGGAATTATGAACGAGTTGAGCATTATATTTTTGAGTTATTACTTGTACTGCTTTAGTTATATTGTTATGAGTTGTTATTGGCTGTTGGTGTTGGACTCCAACCTTTGTCCAAGTTCGTCACTACTTTCAACCTAAGGTTAGGTTTGTTGCTTATTGAGTACATGGGGTCGGTTGTACTCATACTACACTTCTTGCTCTTTGTGTGCAGATTTTCGGATTGCGATGTTGTTGTGTATAGAGGGAGATGGCATTAAAGATGCACCTACGTTCCTGTCATAGCTGCCTCTTATTCTTGATAGCTTTAGAATTTTTAATCTATTCATGTATATTTCAAACAGATGATATATTTATTTCATACCAGCTTTATAAATTCTAAATCTTAGAAGCTCATGATTTGTACTACCAGTCTTTGGGAATTCTTTGTATAAACATTCAGTTATATTATCATTATTTCTCTCAGTAAATCTCATTTGAATTGGATTATTGTTAATTCGCTTACCTAGCGGGTTGGGTTAGGTACAATCACGACTAGTTGAATTTTGGGTCGTGACATTTACACAGTACATTATGGAGGTTATTGGGTGGCAAAGGTGTTCGGAGTGTGTGATCAAACGTCCTACATGAAAAGTAGAAAGGAAAAATAAGTTATTTATAAGGAATTAGATACTCTTAATGTTGTGAGGCCTTTTGGGGAAAATCGTGTGGGCTTGGCCCAAAGAGGACAATGTCATACCATGTTAAGAGTATTTTAGGATCGTTTTAGCCCAACAACTAGTATCAAAGGCAATGGTTTGGCGAGACGAGTATGGAGATGGCGAAGTGATGGCGTATGGCCCGACTTAGTACCTTTGCCCGTCTATGGGCTGATTCACTATCTTTACCCATAGCTTCAAAGACGCATACACAACCTCTCTTTGGGTTTCAATGACAGTAAATACTCTGATCATATAGGTGTCACACAGTTAATCTCCAAATTAGCCAATAAACGATGATGGGTCATGTGGAACTTAGTTCAAGGGGAAGATTATTGGGAGTGTATGAACAAAAGTCTCACATAGAAAGTAAAGAAGAAAAATAAATTACTTATAAGGAATTTGATATTGTTAATGGTGTGAGACCTTTTGGGAAAAACCGTGCGGGCTTGTCCCAAAGCGGACAATATCACACCATGTTAAAAATATCTTTGAGCCGTTTTAACCCAACAAAAGTCATAGCCAGAATTTTAAAGTTTATGAATTCGAGATTCTAACCATTTCAAGTGTCTGGGCTTTTGTAATTGAGAGAGAATTCAAGAATAAAGATTAGCATATAACAAGATAAAAGAATATTCCGAGTATTTCTTTTTTGCTTCTTAGAAGGAAGTCAATCGACGTACAATCAAGAAAGTCCTTAAACATTGATGTTTATGTACTGACATGTGGGTTAATTGATAACGAAATGGGACCCTTAAGCCAGTTGGCAATTTCCAAATTTTCAACAAGTCATTTTCCCCAAGTCTTAAATGAGTTTTGACTCATTGACTATTCAACCTTTCCAAGTGATTTGAGGACAAATACATCGGTTGTTTGTAAGTTAGAGGGACTTGTCACTTGTTAATTTGTTACCTGGTTGTGTGTTAGTTAGATGGACTTGCTTATTATTTTCTAAGATGCACATACAATGCTAAACTAAGTCATTCTTATAGCTTGATACGTAAAGACAGACCCTAGCGAATGAATTAATGTCAAAACGATTTAGACACATACTTATACATGATTGGAACGCCTGACCTTAACTACTCCAATTGTGATGGCTAATGAGTTGTGAATGTTTGTAGAAAATGTGTAAATGCTGATCCAACTCAATTTTATTGTTTTTTTGAAGAGGCCAATCCTGCTATATCTAACATATATAAATTGCTATTATATATATCTAAAAATTTGAAGGAAACTTATAAAAGATGCATGTGTGAGTATTAAAAGGCGCATCCATCAAATGTACACCTTTAAATAATGAGGAAGTATTTGGTTCATCTTGTTTTGTTGATTAGGGTTTTTGGATACTCAGGCCTGCTATAATCGATCTAACTATGGACGGTCCAATGCATGGACATGTTCTGAAAGAGATCCATTTTTGCTCATGAGCTCTTGGCGACTATAGAGAACATAAACTGCAAACCGAAATTATAGAGAAAACCGACCGAATCGAACCAAAAATAGACTGAACCGAATTAGTAAAAATCGAAGAAATCGAACTAATTTTGGTTCGGTTATTGATTTATCAATTAGAAAATCAAAAATCGAACAAATCGAACCGTGGCGACACATCTTAATTTATAAGTGGGCTTGTCTTTCAAATACATCCACCAGTAGTGTAAACAAAACGGTAACCATCCTTCGCGAACCAAGACATCCAAAATATTTGTTATTAGAGTCAATATAACTTTCTTATGACCAAGATGGTGTTGGTGTGCAAACGAAAATCCCATAATGGTAGTGAAAAAGACTGAAAGGCTACACTGTGATCTCTTAATGGTGTGAGGTATTTTGAGAAAAATTGTGCGGACTTGAACATCACATCATGTTAAGAGTATCTTTGAACTGGTTGAGTAGAACAACTGATATTAGAGCGCAGGTTTGACGGAATAAGTATGGCGCTGGAAGATGGTGTGGAGCTCGATTATCTTACCCTTTACGAGCATGGAGATGGGCACACAAGAAGAAGCTAGTTGTGGGTTTCAGGTGCCATAAATACACTAATGATGTGTGTGACATACAGTGAATCTTGAAAATTAACCCTTGAACCGTGATACTTCGCCAAGTGGAACTTGGTTCAAGGGGAAACTTCATGGATTGTTGTAGTAGGTCAGGTAGAATTTAGTTTAACGAGGAGATTGTTGGTGCGAACAAAAGTCTCAAATTAGTAATTGCAAAAACTTGGGAGCTCTTTTAATAGTGTGAGTCATTTAAAAAAAAAAGGGTGAGTTTAATCCAAAATAGACAGTATCATACTATATTAAAAGTATATGCGGTTCGTTTTAGCGTAACAAATGGCATATAAAGTACTAAAGGTGCTCTGTCACCTAAAATACACAAAAAAACATTTTCCTCTCCCTCGTACATTGGTGACCTGTGAATAGTAGGGGTAAAAAGTATAATAAGGTAGGACAAAAGTTGAGCTTACTCATGGTTCTCATGCGTCACATACTCAACTTATGAAGTTTTAGAACTCTATTATGTTATGCAAATTTAGACAATTCAATAAAAAAAGAGCAATAAGAAATTAAGAACGCGAAAGGCTTGAATAGATGGCTTTCAATGCCGAGGTTCAATTTTGTACAAATAACTGATTAAGTCCATCTGATCTCTATTTATTTTATTTTATTTTATTTAATAGTAGGCACAACTTGAAGAAGTAGTCATTATTACGCTGAATAGTTAAAGCCTTTGACCTATTTGTAACTAGAACCCTATTATTACTATTTCATACATATATTTTTTTTTATATTTGACTAGCAAATATAATTATTATCGGATTAGCCAAATGTATAACTTATCTTTTTTTGTTGCATCAAGAGAAAAGGCCGTGCTTGCATCTATTCCACGTTTTGTTATGACATTGAATTGGTCAATTGGATATAGAATGACTAGAACTAACATTGTACAAGTATAATTTTTTAACTACATAAGTCCAAAATTTTTTCTTTTCTTTTCTATAAGAAAAGAAAAAGTTCTTTTGGCTTATTTACAAACTTTAAAAAAGAGCAAAAAAATTACACTATTAATCCATATAATCACTCAACAATATGACTAGAAACTTTAACTTTCACTACAAATCAAATTCTCCTCCCGCCCTCTTTTTGTACTTATGGGTTGAATGATTAAAGCGCCCAACTCATAATTAAAGAATTTCAGCCCAGTTTTGAGCAATTCCACCTCCTCACTTTCATTTAAATTCTTTACTTTTAATAAATCCCTATGACCAAAATCTCGGATTCTTTTTTTACCTCAGTAAATGTCGAGAATTTCAAGAATCGATCTGTTACAAAGAGGACAACAACCTCGATTTACCCAAAGCTCTCTTGAACAAACCCTGCAAAATGTGTGCCCACATGGTATGAATGCTGCTCCTTTTTTCCTCTGCATACACACACAACAAACAGTTTCACCCCCTACCCCTTCTTCTTTCTCCATTAATTCTCCCTCATATATCTCCGTTTCTTCTAACAATCTCATCAACGACATTCTTGCTGGTGTCCCGGGTACCGTTCTCGGCCCGTCAATATCGGGCCTCAACGGGCTAGGGCCTTGCCCGGTCTGTTGACCCAGGCTATTGTCAATTGCATTATCTGAACCTTGCTCTGTGACTTCCTCTTGGAAGTGACGTTCGGCGGCCAATGCGGCCGCCAAATTCATCCCGGACCTTCCTCCGGGTATATGACCCAAACATGCTATAGTAGTAGTAGTAGAAGCTGTTTCGGATGGTGTATGAATTATATGATGACCCATCACTTCTTCTATGTCGTCTTCATAGTCCATTATATTTAACGTTGCTGGCAATATACCCAAGTAGGACCCACAACATCCGATTCCTTTTAATCCTAGCCGTTCTGCTAAACTCTTTCGTCGTCTTATAACTCGATCTTCACCGTCCATTTTCTCTCTACGTCAACAATTCACCCTTCGTTCTTGCTGCTATCCTTCTGTTTGACCTTTCCTGCAAATAGAAAACCCAAGATTTCCTATTTCATCCATTTATGCACGTATCTCAAAGCCACAACATAGGATACAACAACTTATGCGTACGTATATATATTTTCACCATCAATATGAAAAATTAGCATTAGTGAACAAATGGAACAAGTATATGCGGCCTTGTATTAATTATGCATCCAATTTAATTCAATATTGTACTATAATTTTAAAAATATAATAATTAAGTTGAACTTATCATACTTGAATTCTGAATTCGTATATAATCATGTATATTTATGAGGAGTGAAAAGGAAAAAGAAAAGGTATATGGAAGAGAAATATACTTACAAAGAGTCGAAAATGAAATTAGTGGTAAGTCAAAAGGCATTGAAAATATATCAAGAAACTACGATATTTGATGGACCAGCAGGTCAGCTACGTAATTTATCCCTCACGCTGAACGATCTTGGCCTGCTCCTTTGATTGAGTAACCCTCCATGAGACCATTACTACTGCCACCAGTCCTTGTCTGATTCAATTAACAAACCTAATTAAGGAAGTGATTAATTAGCATATAAATATGAAGAAGAAAAAATGGAGGAAGAAAACTGAGTTTGTTGGGGTTGATGTAGGAGGGGAGGAGAGAACCAGCTGTTTAGCTATGAATTGGGAAGTCAATGAAATTTGGTTTCTTTGTGGAAAAAGATAAGAGAGACTAGTATATAGTGTTAGGTATAATATTATTCTTCTTCTATATATGAATTAGAAACAAACAAAAAGACAAAATGGAAGGAAGAAAAGAGCAAGAAAAGGAGAATAATTATATTGGTGGGTCTTTAGGGGGATATATTCCGATGGTTTGGGAAAAAAAAATGAATTTATGAATTTCAGATGTCATTGAGTAATTGATTAATTGAATTGTCGAGTTCAAAATTATATATATACACACCTCTCCGTTCCATTTTATCTGATTTTTTGGACTCTTTTTTGTGGTCTATAATATTTGATTTTTCAGATATGAAAAATGAATTAACTCATTTTATTCCGAAGTTGCCCTTGGAGTAAAGATCCTAGGAGTATTTGTTATACTTCCAATGAACAAATTAAGGTTAATATGATAAATTTTATTGTTAATTAATGCTAAAAGGTGAATTTATGAATGTGTGAAAATAGCCAAAAAATCAATTAAAGTGGACCGGAGGGAGGGAGTAATATTTTTTATATCAATAATTTTTTTTTGTAATAAATATTTTCATCATAGTTTGTTTAACTCTTGTATTTTTCAAATTTATTTTGGAAACGTTTTTCTTGAGATGAGAATCTATTGTAAACACAAGACATCTACCTTGTGTAGGGGTAAGGTCTGCGTACACCTCTCCTTCCCAAGATTTTACTTATACACTATTAGAAATTCGGCAAAAACTGACCACGGTCAACCGACCAATTTTGGCCGGTCAAATAATCAGCTAAAAAATCAACCAAAGTTGGTCGATTTTTCAAAATATTTTATTTTTTAATTTATTTTTACGAAACCGACTAACTTTGGTCGGTTTTCTTTGGCGCAAAAATGCGGGAAACTATTATTGAGTCTCGCAAAATTTATTTTTCAAGAAACCGACCAACTTTGGTCGATTTTTTATTTAAAATAAATTAAAATTAATATTAAAAAAACTGACAGAATTTGGTCGGTAATTTTATTTTTTAATTTATTTTTACGAAACCGACTAACTTTGGTCGGTTTTCTTTGGCGCAAAAATGCGGGAAACTATTATTGAGTCTCGCAAAATTTATTTTTCAAGAAACCGACCAACTTTGGTCGATTTTTTATTTAAAATAAATTAAAATTAATATTAAAAAAACTGACAGAATTTGGTCGGTAATTTTATTTTTTAATAAAATCGACCAACTTTGGTCGGTTATTTTCGTGCGAAAATACAAGGAAAGAGTATAAATTAAATAAAAGACAGTCTTAAAATAAAATACACCAATTGTTTAGTGGTAGAATAGTATCTTGCCACAGTACAGACCCCGCTTTGATTCCCAGATGGTGCATTTTTTAACTATATAATTAAAATACCAGCCAACTTTGGTCGGAAAAACGTTTTCGGCAATTTATTTTTTGAATTTAATTGACTTACCAAAGTTGGTCGATATTGGTCTAGTTAATGGTCACGTTTTGAACGGTTATTGGTCATTACCGACCAACTTTGATCAATTTTTTGGATAATTTTTCCTAAATTTCTAGTAATGATAGGATCATACTAGTTATGTTGTTGTTATTGTACATATTTTATAAAGTACATTGGTGATGTTTAGTGGTTTAGATTAGATTAATTTATTTGGCAAAATTAAAGGAACAAAGATTAATTATTATTTTTCTTATTTTCCGATAAAGATTGAGTCTTTGACACGAATTCCTGTTGTTTTTTTATTGGATTATATACTTTAGAATATTGCGTGTTTGTGTAAGGTTATAAGTGGTTGCCGGCCTTAAATAAAGTCAAAATTAAGTTAGAGACTCATAGAGCCAAGGCTCACAAACCAAGGTTTTTCCATGTGGCATTTGCCTTTGGCTTTAGGATATCTTTTCCCTTTTGAAGTTCAATTATACAGAATATGTAGACTTTCATCTTTCTTTAAGTTCAATGATTAAGTATGTAGCTTGAGTTGTTAAACCACACATGTAATATAATATTGAGAATTTTTCACAAACCTCTAATGTTAAATAGCTACTCCATTAACTTTATATATCTACCATATAAAAAATTACTTCGTATAGCCACTATTTAGTTATTACGCGACTGTATTCGATGTATTCGCGCTACTGTATTCATGAATACAATAGTAAAATTTACCTAAAAAATAGGGGAATCCAGTTGTGCGATTGTATTCGCGCTACTATATTCATGAATAAAGTAGCGGAATTCGCCTAAAAAATAGGGGAATACAACTGTTTAATAACGGAAAGATGATCAGTTAGTGTGTATCACTCCTAACTTAACTCAACAAAGTCAATTCTACATAAATTTCATTGCTATTGTGATGTATTCCATGTATTCATGTGACTGTATTTATAAATACAGTGAGGTAAAAAACAAGGATTACAAATATTTAATTATGTATTCCATATAATCTCGCGAATGTATTTATAAATACAATGAGGTAATCTGCCTAAAAAATAGTAATTAGGGGTGTTTAACAACAGAAAGTGTAATATTGAATTGTATTCAGTTTCACTATATTGAATTCAATTTTATTCAAACAACAACAAAATCAAGAAATAGGATGTATACCGTTATATCCAATTTCACAGATATTCACTATTATACATTGTATTCAATTTACCATATTCAATTCGACTGTATTGAAATAACAAAAAATTACAAAACACAGTGATATTCGCCTGTATTCAAAAAATACAGACCTTCGGAATACATAAATACAGGAGAAAAAAATAATATATTTATATAAAAATACAATATATTTGAGTGTATTTGTACATAATACAATGTATTTGTATCATTGTATGTGACTAAATAGCAAAGAAGAGAAGAAAGTTCGCTGGAGATGGCATTTTTCGGCCAAGCAAAATACTATATATATTGTAGTAAAACTAAAAATGGAGACGAACAAAATTTCGGGCCTCAAATCTTCTCCGACGTAGCCATGGCAAGATCTGTTTGCCTAAGAGGATGAGCCAATAGTGGATGATGACACCGACAATTCTAACTCATAGTTATGTAGAAATTGATGATTCATCGTTTTAAGAACTTCAGCCCTATTATTCATCCAACGTTCATGTTGGTGTACACATTGTAGGGTGACTGAACATGTAGAAGTATTTTCAGTTGTAGTAACCCTAGAGGATTCGGCCAGAGAATTCAGAGTAGAAGCGGGTATTTTGTTCAAAGAGAGAGAAGGAAGAGAGAGAGAAAGAAGAAAAGTTTTCCTGATATTTTAAGAGAGAATCGTGTGTTAACTGAAAGAAAGAGAGAGAGAAAAGATAAATAGCGTAGTTCACACTTCAATGGTAGTGTATACCATAAATACTTATTTTGCTATAACATATAAAAGGTAGCTATAGAAAATAATATCTTAAAATAGTTTTGGTTTATTATAAATATGGTGTATACCTTTGCTATAAGAGGTAGAATTTCCTATACTATTCGGAATAAATTATAAATCTAAGGTAAGAGTTTTTTAAGTACAAATCCAATTGTCAAATTTACAACAATATACTCTATCTATTTCCTATTTATTTTATATGAAAGTGTTTAAATTGAACTCTTATATAAAAACGTTTACCCTTTTTTCCTGAACTCTATATCTAGTATCTAGTTAAACAATGTGTATACGGGTAAAATCGAATCTATAAGCCGGCCTAATTCCCCATAAAATCAATCGAGTAAGGAACACGATGGCAAGGAACCAAAATCAAGGTAAGAGACTCGTCGAGTCAGGTACCGGGGGCACGATGCCCACCTTTGAGTATTTCAAAGGCATGACCCCGGGATCGGTCCAAATCCCAAAAGATTTCGTAGAGCGTTATTGGGCAATCAAACACAATTAACGGAAGGCCATAATAGTCGTGACCAATCGGGTATCACGGCGCAGATCTCGACACGTACCGACGGGAATCCAGTAATTAGTTAAACAAGAGATTTTACTTTTATGGAATTGTACCTAGAGTAAGATTCCCCTACTATATAAAGAGGGGTCTAATTATTCATTGAACATATTATAATACGCATCCCAAAGAAATATACTATTATTTTTACTGTTATTCATAACTCTAATTCTCGTTCACTAGTGCTAGCCATTGTGAATCCGAATCGAGGGTGGAAATTTCATCAAGGCTGGAGTTATCCTCCTCACGTGGTATGAATTTACTATATCTTTAATTTTTTAATCTAACACAATTTATAGTTTATATTGAATTAATCCACGTATCCTTAAAACTACTTACAAATTTAATTATTATCCGTTTTTAGGGTAAACAGTTTGGCGTCCACCGTGGGCCAAGGATAATAGTGACAATTTGATATAAATTTCCATAACGCACCCTATTTTACACTTATTCTTTGAGGTGTCTTTAATTTCAGGTCAAAGTTCAAAATGTCGAACTCCCAATCTGCACCTCTAAATGTGGATGATGAGTTCGGTCACTACGGCGAGAACAACAATATAGTACCCAGTAACGAGATGGCATCTGTCAATCCCATCGGAGTTCCGATGCGGACCCGATTGACTCTAACTCATATGTGGCCATCAACGTAAATCTGCCTACCGATCCTAAGAACAGTGTCCACGGGATAGTCTGATCGGCAGGCCCAATAGGCAGCGATAGTCCAGCTGCAGAACCAAAGCTGCCTCCCCAGCAGAGTTGAGTCCGAGCCATCCCAGGAAATCACTCACAGAAATGAACCAATCACGGAGAGGCCGAGTGAAGCTTAACTCGAGACTAACCCCGAAATCATAAAAATGCTCGAGGAACTGACAAAACAGGTAGAATCGGGAGAAAAGAAAATCGAAGCCAGGGTGAAAACTTACAATTCCAGGGTCGACCAAATCCTAGGAGAGCCACCGATATTGAAGGGCCTGGATTCCAAGAAGTTTGTTCAGAAACCTTTCCCTCCGTGCGCATTTCCGAAGCCAATCCTAAAGAAGTTTCGCATGCCCGAAATTCCTAAGTACAACGGAAAAATCGACCCAAATGAGCATGCGACCTCCTA